GGGATTGTGGCATGGCCATCCCCCCTGGGGGGTGATTTCTCGTTTTCTGTCTCTCTGTCTCTCTCTCTGTCTTTCTGGTGAGCGCACGCACCCTATAGCAAAAACTTCTCCCCACCCCCCCAAAAAAATTATTTGCTTTCACCCATAAACAGATGCTTGTTCATTTTGGAAAGTGCTCATTGCTCCAAATGATGACCAGATTGTGTATTTCTCGCTAGTAGAGCCTATGTGTATTCTGTATGCTTGGGATTACTATTTCTCCCTGTGAGTTAAAGACCCTTCATATGGAACCCCAATAGTCCTCCACTGTCTGACTTATTTTTTTCTTTTTTAAAAATTATTTTATTTAAGTTTATTTATTTATTTATTTATTTATTTTTTAATTTGACCAGAGAGGGGGAGAGAGAGAGAATCCTAGAACATTTCCAGTGCTTTTCCAAGTACTGAAATACCAAGTACTTAATAAATCTGTGTAGGTGAGTGTGTGTGTGTGTGTGTGTGTGTGTGAGAGAGAGAGAGAGAGAGAGAGAGAGAGAGAGAGGGAGAGAAGAGAGAGAGAGAGAGATAGGGAAAGTGAGAAAGCAAGTTGCTAGATCCAGGACTTGAACCATGGTTGGCCATGTGGGAGTCTAGTGCCCTTAACCACCACACCACCTGCTGGCCCCTATCTGACTTATTTTCTCTTCATCCTTTCCTTTTTTTTTTTTTTTTTGAGGGATTTTCATTCTCCTCTCGGGATCTTGGGCACGCACGCACAAGCGCCCAGCGTGAGTTTTGAGCCACTGGGTCCGGGACACGAACCGTGGTCGACTACGTGGGAGTCCAGTGACATAGCCATTACGCTAACTGCTGGTTCCCTCTTCATCCTTTTTTACTACATTGTTGGACCCCATAATGTGTATCTGCTTTTAGTGTTGCTTTTTTTTTTCTTTTTAAGAGAGGTTTTTGCTGTGGGCCGTGTGTGCTTGCCAGAGACATAGAGACAGAGAGAGGGAAGAGAGAAATCGCCTTCCCCAGGGGGGATGGCCATGCCATAGTCCTTCCTTCATTCTCCTCTTGGGTTTTTGGGTATGCACGCAGACAAGCCTGGTGTGATTTCAAGTCGCTGCATCTGGGACTTGAACTGTGATCAGCCATGTGAGAATCCATCGCCTTAACCATTATGCATCTGCTAGTCCCTTTATATTGCTTTTTACATTCTGGAGTTTTCATCACCAGTTTGTTCTGGTTCTGTGAAGGGATTGTATACTGTTGACGCTTCTGTCTCAGCTGTAATTTTTTTTGTTTGGTCATAGGGTAGGTGCCTCATCAGACATAGACAGAGAGAGAGAGAGAGAGAGAGAGAGAGGGAAATTGAGAAATTACACCCCATGAAGGATGGCGACACTGTAGTCCCATCTCCTCTGTTCTTCTCTCGGGATTCTGGGCATGCATGCACATGTGGCTGGCAGGATTTTTAAGCCATTGGGAGTAGGCCATGTGGGAGTACGATACCTTAACTACTAGGCTATGTGCTGACCCCTATGTATTTCTCTTGAGGAAAGCTTCATGACTTTCATTTTTTATTTATTTTTATTTTAGTTTTTAGTTTACTATAGGACACATGTGCCCGCTAGAGGAAGACAGTGAAAGTAGGCAAACACCCTCCCAGGGGTATGGCTATGCCTCAGCCTCTTCTTTTACTTTTTCCTATTCTCTTCTTGGGATTTTGGGCACACATGCACATGTGCCTGATGTGCTTTTTTTTCAAAAATTTTTTGGTCACTATTATTATTTTTAAATTTGATACAGATATGACAAAGAGACAGAGAGAGAGAGAGGGAAAGTGAGAAAGTAAGCCACCAGGTCCAGGGCTCAAACTATGGTCGGCCATGTGGGAATCCAGTGCCCTAACTGTCATGCCACCTGTTGGTTCCTGATGTGCTTTTCAAGCCACCAGATCTGGGACTTAAAATACATAGTCGACCATGTGGAATCCAGCTGCCTTAACCATCATGCCATTGGTTGGCCCTCTTTTTGTTATTTAATTGACAGAAGGCATATACACTTGCTAGACAGAGAGACAGAAAAGAAAGAGGGAGAAAGCACCCCCAAATAGGGCATGGTCCCACCACAGTCCTTTCTCTTCCATCCTGTCAGGATTTAAGACATGTTTCTCAAGCCACCAGGGCCACAAGTCAAAACACAGTCAGCTGCATGTGTGACCCAGCTCCGTTAACCATAAGGCTACAGAACGGGCTCAGTCTTCATAACTTCACTCAGAGATTACACGTGACTCATGGTACTAACATTCAAGAATGATAGTGGTTTAGAGTACTCTTTGCCTTTAACAGTGTCTGTCTGTCCATCCATCTATGTCCACTAGCCTGTCCTGTTTTGTTCTATGCACTGTAAAAGCTGTTCCTAAGTCCCGGTGTTTGAGGCAGCCAATTACTTTTGATTTCTCTTCGGAGTAGCTTATTGTTGTTGCTGCTAATTTCTAAATGTAAAACAAAATTTAAAATTCTTTCTTTATGCAAATTTATAGAGTATATGTGAAATGATAAACTTATACCCATATAAGTATTGATTGTCGTGGTCATTATTTTGTATTTATGACACTCTCTATGAATATATTCTGGTCACTGTGGTTGAATTTCAGAAACGTCGTGGGACTTGTTTTTATAATGCCAGAGGGTGCAGGTGTTCTCTGGAGAGAAAGTGAGAAAGCACTCCCCCCAGTCATGCCACAGTCCCTTCTCCTCCATCCCGTCATGACACTGAGCACACACATAGACATACGTGGTGTATTTTTCAAGCTGCTGGGGCTGGGCTTCTAACCATGGATGGCCATGTGGGATCCAGATCCTAAGGCTATGAGGTTGGCCCTGAGTTTATCTATTTCTTCCAGGAGTAAGAAAGATAGAGAGACAAACATGAAGGGAGTCAGAAACAGACAGAGATAGGCATTATATTAGTGTCTCTACATCATGATCCACCCCAAGCTTCAACCAGCCCTATCAAGTGGCAATCCTTCTGCCCAGCCTCCCAGTGACTTAGGATTACAGGTGTGCACGGCCATATCCAGCATGTTCAGGTTGCTCTGGGAACTGAACCTGGGTCTCCCATGCAGCCCTAGCGTCCCAAGCAATGGCATATTTATGTGCTACAGCAGGGTCCATTTTAACCATTTAAAAACTATTTTTTTATTTTATTTTATTTTATTTTATTTATTATTACTGTTATATAAAAATTTTTGTTATAGAGCACATGTTTTCATCAGAGACAGACAGAGAGAAAGAGAGGGAAAGGCTGAAAGTAAGTTGCCAAGTCCAGGACTTGAATTGTGGTTGTCCATGTGGGAGTCTAGCACCTTAACCATTATGTCACCTGCTGGCCCCATTTTAACCGTTTTTAAGTGTACAGTGCAGTAGTATTTAGAACATTCATAATGTTGTGCAATAGATTTCCAGAACCTCTTTATCTTGCAAAACTAAAACTCTGTATCCACTGTGCATCATTTTCCCATCATCCCTTTCCCCAGCCCTGGCAACTACTGCTCCACTGTCTGTGTCTATGAATCTAACTATTTTAGATACCTCATGTAAGCATGAGATCATACAATATTTATTTTTGTGTGTATGTGTTTCATTTATTTCAACAAACATGCAAACATGACACCCTCAAGGTTCATCCATGTTGCAGCATATATCAGAATTTTCTTCCTTTTTTTTTTTTCAATAGAGAGATTTTTGTTATAGGGTGCATGCACTTGCCAGAGAGACAGAAAGACAGAAAGCAAGAAATCATCTCCCAGGGGATCCCTTCTGCATTCTCTTCTCAGGAGTTTGGGCATGCACGCATGCGCATGTACCCTGTGCGAGTTTAAGTCACTGGGTCCAGGACTCAAATTAGAATGGGAATTCAGTGACATAACCGTTACACCATCTGCTGGTCTCTCCTTCTTTGTTTTTGAATTTTCTTTTTAAGAGAGATTTTTGCTAGAGAGATAGAGAGACAGAGAGACAGAAGGTGAGAAATCACTCTCCCAGTGGGGATGGCCACACCGCAGTTCCTTCTCGTCCATTCTCCTCTTGGAATTTTGGGCATGTGTACACACATACCCAGCATGAGTCAAGTCTCTGTGTCTGGGACTTGAACTGTGGTTGACCATGTGGGAGTCCAGCAATGTAACAATTACACCATCTGCTGGTCCCATAAAATTCCCTTTTTAAGGCTGAGTAATATTCCTTCACGTATATCTACCACATTTTGTTTATACATCACTCCAGCAGTGGATATTTGTGCATTGCTTCTACCTCGTGGCTATTGTGATGGTACTGTTATGAATGTGAGTGTGCAAGAGATTTTTAGTATTTTTCTGAACATTCCCCAATGATTCTAATGTGCAGCCAAGGGTGAGAACCACTGAGACTATTTCTAAACTTAGAAATGTTATAAATTGGAGGAACCAGCAGTTAGCGTAATGACTATTTTGCTGAACTCCCATGTAGTCGACGGTGGTTTGAGTCCCGGACCCGGTGGCTTAAACTCATGCCGGGTGCATGTGCGTGTGTGCCCAAGATCCTGAGAGGAGAATGGAGAAGGGATTGTGGCGTGGCCATCTTCCCTGGGGGATGATTTCTCGCTCTCTGTCTCTCTGTCTCTCTCTGTCTGTCTGTCTGGCAAGTGCATGCACCCCTAAAAAAAAACCCCCAAAAAAAAAAAAAAAAAAAAAAAAAGAAATGCTATAAATTGGAGCCAGCAGGTGGCATGGTAGTTAAGGGCTCTGGACTCCCACGTGGCTGAATGTGTTTCGAGTCCTGGCCGGGACAACTTGCTTTCTCACTTTCTCTTTCTCTGTCCCTCTCTGGTCAAACTAAAATAAATGAATAAAGTTAAAAATTCTATAAATCTAATTTATTAAAATCTAAATTTTAATATATAAATTTAATATAAATTTTAATGTGAAGTTTTTAAGAGTTAATATATGGCATCTAAAACATTACTCTAGAAAAATGTAGAAGGATTGCATCTATTTTCTATTCTGAAGTTGTTTTCCCCCTGAATTTAAGGTGTTACTGTGGCAGACTGATTGGAGACCATCATGGGATAGATTATACCTGGACCATCTCAGCCACCTTGGGTAATGAAAATGAACAATGGTCTGTTGAAAAGCACACAAGGAAAAGCCCTACAGATGCCTTTGGGACTATTAATTTCCAGGACGGAGAGCACACCTACCACTCCAAGGTTTGCTAATAATCCAGATTGTTTTATTGTTTTGAACAGAGGCTAGCCCCAAGTGTATCTCCACATTGTATCTCCAAGTGTAGATAATCAGATGACCTGGTTATACTGCAAAAGCGAGCCATGTTATTGACCCTTGATATGGCCCAACCCTCTCTATCCTTTATGTCTGAAGGGGAGTGAACCTGTTCCAGGTTGTGGTGTGACCAGTTGTTTATTTGACTGACCTCTTTATTTTAGCAAGCTTATACTTTCTGCAGAAAAGAATGGCTTATTACCCATTAGATAATTTCCAATGGACTACCTTTTTCTTTTCTTTTTTTTTTTCTTTCTTTTCTCTTCATTTTAAGTCACTATGGGAAGCTATGAAAACAGGGAGATTATCCTGGGCTATCCCAGTGGGCCTAATTTAATCACACAATTTTAAAAAAAGAATTATTTTATTTTATTTTATTTATTTTTTTATTTTATTTATTTTAATTTGACCAGAGAGAGAGAGAGAGAGAGAGAGAGAGAGAGAGAATGAGAAAGCAAGCCTCTAGGTCTGAGACTTGAACCATGGTTGACCATGTGGGAGTCCAGCACCCTTAACCACCATGCCACCTGCCAGACCCCCTTTTTCTTAAAGAAGGCAGAAAAGTTACTATCAACGAGAGGAAGTAAGACCATAGCGATCATCAGTAACTTGTGATGATTCACATCCCCTTAGTTCCTGTGAGGGCCTCTTTGCAGGAGGAGTATGGGGGAATTCTGCTCCGTACCCACGGCATGTACCCACTTGGACTATCCAGGCCAGGTTTCCTCCTGTTCCTAACATGGTAAGGTTACATGTGATCCGCACACTGACAGATCCGCTCTCCCTCAGGTGTTCTCTCTTGAGCGCATTTACTTCCTGCTTTATTGAAGCAGCTTTCACCAGGGAAGCTGCAGGCTAATCCTGCTTCAGGAAAGGGCTGCACCAGCTGTGCCCTGGGGTGTAGCTGTCAGTTGGCTGGATTAAGAACCCTGGTTCCTAATAGAGTGAGCCTCATAATACAGTTCTACAATAATCTACATTTCCTGTTATTACTCTTATATTTTATTTTGTGGGTTGATGTTTTCTCTAGTAGGCAGGGAGAATCCCCTTGTTCTCCTCTTCAGTCTCTTTTTTTGGAAGCTGATTCTTGTAGAACCCCTTGTGTAACTTTTCCTTTAAGTTATATTATTCTTTCTTTTGCTTTTATGTTTATTCTTAATTACCTTCATTTACTCATTTTTCACCTATCCAACAAATATTTATTGGGTGCCCTGCGAGCATACGTTTCACGTACTAACGTTGTTTGCAGTCCAGTGAGAGAAAAAGGAAATAAATACCCATTTGCCACAGAGGGTGAGGATGCTATGGAGAGGGAATACAGGTCCTTTGAGAGAATGAAAAGGGTAAAGTCTTCCTGTTTGGGGTGTGTGAGCATGTATGTGTGTTGACCCTCTTGATAAAAATAGCATGGCCCTCTTTCTCCTTTATGTGTGTAAAGAAGTCGCCTGGAAGTAGGGACAGCTAAACTGAGATCTGAAATGGGCTGAAATTACTCTAGGCATGAAGAATCACTTATACAGAAGGTCAGGGAATTTATGGTCCATTTAGGAGATCTGAATATACATAGGGTTAGGCAGAAGATTAATATTTTTTAAGGTGTATTTATTTCTTCCATGGGTGAGAAAGGCAGAGAGAGAGAGAGAGAGAGAGAGACCTCACCCTCAACAGGCTCTCAGGACTGAGACCCACTGCTAGCCCCAGCTAGCCCGGGATCATGGGCACGTGCATGCCCGGGATACTCCACGGGGTCTCTGGACACAAACCTAGAACCTTTCCACGTGGGTCAGCCTCTCAGAGAGCTGGCATTTCATTCACTGCTGTGCCACTGTCTGACTCCACTATTTTTATACTTTGCAGTGGGCTCCTACTCCAGCCTGTGCACCTTACTGCATTTTATTTAAGGTCTGAGAGGAGAAGAAACTCGACTTGGTATTTTGTGTCAAAATCAGACTTTAGGTTCATTTTTAGCAGAAAAGCTTGTACGAGCGCGTTACTCACCTCCTTGTGCTGGATTTCCCTTCCAGGTTATTTGTCCCTCCCATCTCATTCCTCATTCAAAGGATGTGAGGTAAATCCCGGCCAGTAAGATTCTGTGTAAGGGAGTCAGTATAAAGGAGATAGAGAGGATGGGGTAGTCATTAACCTTTACCGTGGTCTTCGGTTCTCTTTGGGAGAAAAGACTCTCGTGCAGATAATTTCGTTCATTGGATTGTCTATCCTGATTGTCCATCCTGAAATCTCAATGAAAAATATCTGCTAGACCTGAAATGGCTCACAGTTGCAGGAGATGGGGGCTTGTGAGAAAGAGTTGTAGGGGTGGAGAGTCAAAGAGCTAGAGCTGGCTTTTCTCTTACTCACTAATCAGAGCAACATAAGCCATTTCACAAGAGCCAACCCATGTTTTCCCTGCTGTTTTAGTATGCAGTAGAGCTGTGGCAGCTCAGTTTCACTGTAAACTGAATCTTTACGATCCTTGGATTCTTACTGTTACATTTTGTGATAGCTACACTTTTCCAATGTTCAGGAATTCTAATATTTTAATTATAAGACAAAGGGATTATGTATTAAGTTCAAAGAGGATTTTTTAAATTTTATTTTTTTATAAGATGCTATTTTCTTTTTAAGTTAAATTAAACGTATTCTTATTTTGCTATAAGGCATGTGCGCTCACCAAAGAGAGACAGAGAGAGAGAGAGAGAGAGTAAGAAGGAAGGAATGTGAGAAAGCGAGCTGCCAGGTCCAGGACTCAAACTGTGGGCTGCCGTGTGGGAGTCCAGTACCTTAACCACCACACCACCTGCTGGACCTGGGAAATTATTTTAAATCACTATGATTTTCTGGAGGATAATATGATCATTCCTATTTGCATGTATGTAAATCTCCACCTCTGGTTATTCTTGATATATAGCAATTTTATAATTCATAGGGTCTCATTGCCCTTATTTTTCCTAGAAATCTGACTTATCTTGCTGTTGGTTGGCATATGCTTGAGGAGGGCAAACTCTTCATCTCAATGTTGTATGAATGGACTGTATATGGCTGCATTTGCTGGAAAAAGAACGCCCTTCAAGCAATATGATCTTGGGCACACAGAATGACTCTGGGGCTACCTGCTGTCTTGGGTTTCCCTTCCCTTCCCTTTCCTTCCCTTCCCTTGTCTTGTCTTGTTTTCTCTTTTCTTCCCTTCTCTTCTCTCCTGCTTGACTATTCAGAGATAACTGTTTTGTGAAAAGTATTTCTTTTGGGAAAAAATGTTTTCAGAGGGTTAGTGATATATAAAGGAAATAGAAGGTAAAATTTCAATAAATTAGAGGAATAGTGATATGTAAAGGAAATAGTTAGAATATAAAATTTACAATAAATCAAATATATATGCTCCTGAATCTTATATAAAATCATGCAAATATGGAGAGTGGTCAAATAAATTAAAAACCAAAGTACGGTGCCAGCGAGTGGCATTGTGATTATGTTGCTGGACTCCCATATGACTGACTGTGGTTTGAGTCCTGTACTTGACTGCCTGAAAACCATGCTGGGCATGTGTGCGTGTATGCCCAAGATCCCAGGAGGAGAATGGAGAAGGGATTGTGGGTGTGGCCATCCCTCTGGGGGATGACTTCTCACTTTCCCTCTTACTGTTTCTGTCCCTCTCTCTTCAGCGAGCACAGGTGTCCTATGGCTAAAAATCTCTAAAATAAGTTAATAAATAAATACAAGCCAAAGCATTTTTGGAAAAATCTCATCTCGTCTATTTTTTTTAAAACTTTTTATTAATGGGTTTTTTTCTTTTTATTATTTTAATTTTTTGTAGGGCATGTGCACTCAGTAGAAAAAAGACAGAGACAGAGACAGAGAGAGAGAGAGAGAGACAGAGAAAGCAAGGTCTCAGGTCTGGGATTTGAACTGTGATTGGCCATGTGGGAGCCCAGTGCCTTAACCACCATGCCACCTGCTGGCCCAGATGTAATGATTTTTGGCCAGTTGTTTGAAATATTTCTGCCTCACCTCAAGTTTTTTGGAGAACAGTAGTAGGCCAGCCCCGAAGGTCCTGCAGTTACTTGTAATTCCCAGGAGATTAAAGGGAGTGTGGGATCTTTTAAAAGTATTTCCATTACAGAAGAAGAACAAAAGCTCCCAGACACGTGCTTTTGGGTGTTGGCCATTGCAGTCACCCTGCTGTGTGTTCATTGCTTCTGTATCTGGCATCTTTTTACTGTTTTCTGCTCATGCATGTGTGTGTCTTCTAGTATATTAGAACTTCTTATGACACAAAATTGGATCATCTGTTACATTTAATGTTGGAAGAGTGGAAGATGAAGCTGCCTAAGCTGGTGATCTCGGTCCATGGGGGCATTCAGGACTTCAAGATACCTTCCAAGCTTAAGAAGATCTTCAGCCAAGGCCTGGTCAAAGCTGCGGAGACCACAGGAGCCTGGATACTAACTGCAGGCACCAATACTGGTAGAGCACGGTCCCTTTTTCTAATTGTCCTTTTCCTAACTGTGAATCAGGCAGCGTGGCAACTAATCTCTGCTCTGCAGCGCTCCTGGGAGATGTGGGGGAAAGATGAAGAGCCTAGGGACTCCAAAATACACCCAGAAGAATCGCAGGTCTCTCCTGAAGTCTGCTCTATCCACTGTCAAAATATACTATTGTAACATAAATGTGAATAAACTTTTTGAGTTTCAGTCCCTGGTGAAGTTGGAAGAGACAGCAATTCCTTGCAAACGGAGTGTGTGTGGGGGGCTGGAGTTTAGCTAAACTCATGTTGTCATTATTAAGTTCTCAGACAGGGGGACTAGAAGATGTGTGCAAACTTGCATTAACTATGTTGGGTATGAGCAGATAATGCTAAGTTTTTTTTTTGTTTATACAGTAAATGACTGCCCATATTCCCACTGTCTTTATCACTGACTGTTTTATACTTGAAATCTCATTTTCGAGAACATTATTTATTGGGTTCTAAACCATACTGCTTTATATTAATGTTTTTGAACTGTCTGCACATTGGAATCACCAGGGGAGCTTTTGTTTTTATTGTTATTTTTAAATTATTTTATTTACTTATATTCATCATTACATTTCGGCCAAAGAGAGACAGAGAGAGGAAAAGTAAAAAAGTAAGCTACCAGGGATGGGACTCTAATGGAGGTCAGCCATGTGGGAGTCCAGCGCCTCAACCAAGCTACCTACACCCACATCTGGGGAACTTTTAAAAAATGCAGATGTGGGCCACTGTGTGGTATAGTGGCTGGGATGCTGGACTCCCACATGGTGGACTGTATTTTGAGTCCTGGACCTGGTGGCCTCAAACTCATGCTGGATATTTATGTGTGTGTGCCCCACGTCCCAGGAGGAGATTGGTGGAGAAGGGATTGTGGCATGGCCATACTCAATGAGAGGTGATTTCAGATTTTCTGTCTTCCTGGCAAGTGCATGCCCTCTTCAGCAAAAATCTCTCTTAAAAAATGCAGATGCTGGGCCCAGCAGGTGGCACAGTGGTTAAGACAGTGGACTCCTACATGGTCAACTGCAGTTTGAGTCCTGCACCTGGTGGCGTGTGTACATGTGTGCCCAAAACCCTAGGATGAGAAGGGAGGAGTAGGGATTGTGATGGGGCCATCCCCACTGAGGGGTGATTTCTCACTTTCCCTCTCTTTGACTCTCTGTCTCTCTCCAGCTAGTATACACAACCTGTGGAAAAACAAAAACAGAAACAAAAATAACCTTATATATACAAAAATACAGATGCCTAAGCTGTCCCCCAGAGAGTTTGAAGATGGAGCTTCTAAAATATTGTCCAATGTGCAGCCAGGGTTGAAAACAGACCCTCACCTCCTACCCATCTGTTACTAACCTGTGTTTTTCTGTCTTCCCTTCACTTTCCTCTCCTTTGACAGGATGCCCTACTCAGTGTCTCCTATGCAGTTCTGTCCATCTGCTAAGATCTGCACTAGACACCAACATATCCATGGGGCAGCCTCTGAGTATCTCACGTGGCGCTGCTCGCGTGTGTCTCCGATGGCGACAGTGTTTTGTCTGCAGCACCAGTTGCATGTTTGTATTTTGCCTTACAGGTTAGGAGGAATCTGAGTCTGAGCTCTCCAATCTAGTTGTGCGCTAGAGGCCCGGGTTACACGTGTGCCTAAGCACCGAGCAGCCTGTACTGATTAAAGAACAATTTAGTTTAATTTTTTTTTGACTGAAAAGGAATGAAAGAAGCAACCGACAGAAGGAGCAAAATAAGGGCTGCCCCATAGCCTGGTGGTTGAGGGAGCTGGATTCCATGTGGATGACCATGTGGTTCAAGGCCTGGCCCAGAAGCCTGAGAAACATGCTGGGCACATGTGCTTGCTTACCCCAAATCCCAACAGGACGGAGAAATGGAGAAGGGTTTGCAGTGTGACCACACCGCACTGGGGGTGCTTTCCCCCACCTGTCTCTCCTGTCCCTCTGGCAAGTTTTAAAAAAAAAAGAAAGAAAGAATAAAGTAAAATAAAACCAAGGGACTTGACATGTCACTTGTAGGTGACCTGGCAGTTCCTTTTGTACATTTTATAGAGATAATTACTGTTTCACATTGTTGGGATAAAGTGAAGTTGGCAGAGTTCTACGTCCATTGTATGGTACTTTCTTCATTTCCAGTTACACAGGGCGTGGAGTGGGGAAGGTCACAGAGCTCAGAGTAAGGTAGACCTGGATAAGGCTTTTTTCTCTGAATAACTAACTATTAAATGCTTTATTTTGCTGCTTGTTTTTTAACTTTATAGATTAGGGCCAACTAACCTAGAGAAACAAATGTAAGAGTGTGAAGATGATTGAGATAGTTCATAGAAACACAAAAAATTGGAAATGAGAAATACTTGCTGCTCCCTAAATGGCCACCAGCCTGACCTGAGTCAGCCTCACTCCTCCAGGGCCTGGCTCTTCAAGGAGTGATCCCTGCACCAGCTGCACCAGC